TTAAAATCATCATATTTTCACATAAAAATTGAGTTGTTCCATTACTCATTATGTAAAGAATTGTGCATCATGTTCAGGTTTTTTAACTTATTTCCCATATAAATAATAACATTGTTTTAAATAACAAGGACATATTGCAATTAAATGAAGCCTAAGGCTTTATTGAAATTCAAAACGATATCTTTGTCCTTACAACAACGTTACAAGAAGTTTTTATCCCACTAAGTAGGGTCAATTACTTTAATCCTTTTTCTCCATTGTGTTATGTTGTCATATTTTCATTTGATTCTAATAATTTAAGACCACCGTTTTTTATACCAAATGCTTAATTTTTCTTAGGACTACTTCAACTTTTCTTAAGTCAAATTTAAAATATCTACTCTTCTAACTACGTCATCATCAGGTTGTTGATGTTTAATGTGACCAAACCATCTATGGTGATTCTCTTTAATCTTGTCTGTCACTGGAACTACTCCAACCTTTTCACGGATATATTTGTTTCACATTTTGTCTCTAAGTATAAAGCTGCTCATTTGCTTGAATATTCACTTCTCAACAACAACACTTAATAATTGAACATTGGTTATAGTGAAAGACTAAAAAGACATAACATCACTCTGATACATAACACAAAATATGACAAAATTAAATATAATACATATGGCATATTGCAAAAACTGTAACCATGATATAAGTTGCATGCTCCTCATTATTTTAGTAAACTTATTTATGTATTGCATATTTTCCATCCTAATTGATTCTAGTTAACACCAAATAATTCAAATAATGTTTGTTTGTGCTTTGATCTCACATCAAATAAGTAATTCACGTCGCTGAATTTATTTAATCTTCTTTTAAAAAATAATCTTACATTAGCTTATGAAGCAAATTTTGAAGTTTATGCTAATTTGATGTGCAAATCATGTGTTTTGATATTGATTTCGTTCATTCAATTCTGTAAGTTATGTTTTTCTATTTTATTTTGATGACGTATGCCTATGACGAAGATTTTATTGAGAATGGGCGGTGTCTCTAAAATTTATAGTGTGATTCCCATGCTGGTTTGAGTCTCCAATTGTTGACTCCTTGTTATACTATTTTATGTCGATTATGTTACCCTGCTTACTTGTGAGTTTGGCATTGTAGCATGAAGTCAACCTATATGATTTTCGAGTAGGTTATTGCACTACTTGGCGCAGGTGTCCAACGCCCATGCGACAATTGCCACATATTTCTTTGCCTGTACCGACTTAGTCTAGTCAAGGGAGGGATCGATTGGTCTTTCCAAGCATGATCTTCCCTCTTGTTTGGAGCAAGGTCCACTCCTTTTTATTTTAGAACTATAAGTATGTTGTTTTTGTGTTTTCGGTCAGTTTTTACTTGTATCTAAGGTTGTATTCTATGACGGGTGGTGCTCCGACTGTATCTCGTCCGAGGTGGTAAATTCTCGACCTTCCCATTCTTTCACAACTTTCTCTTCTTTGTCGTCGTCACGGTATTTGTTGTAGCTACTAGAAAACAGTCACTCTACTGTGACTTTTTTTCTGCAACTATCTACTGAGTCTTCACCCTTCACAATCTAGCGCCCCTTATTGTCAACCCTTTTTGCTGTCATTGTCCCCAAGATAGGCCGCTTGCCGCCTTTCTGCAGTTCAGCCCCTCCATACTTGTTGTCTTTTCCTAAACCGCAACCAACACCTTCTTAGTAGAGATGTTGCCTCACATTGGCCCCATATCTTCATTACAACACTCTCCACCCCTTCCCACCTCCGTAGTTGATCACCACTGCTCCCAGACCTAGCCTTAGTTTTAGTTTATGTGTCGTGTTTGTTGTTATTTCCAATTTCCGTGTGTTTGGTTGTACTCCTTATTTGATTTCAGTAATAAAATTTGCATTTATCGTTGTTGTTTGGTTAACTCTAGTTCTGAGTGGAGAACAGACAAAATTAATCTGCATTTTCAAATTTCTTCCTATTAGGAAGAGTTTCAAGTGCCACAATTTTGAGCATATTGAATTAGATTGCCCAAACACGAGAATTGTTCTCTTTCACTAATCTGTGAGTAGTTAAAGTAATAAGCAATAATCCAAGATAAGATGAAAATCTCATAACAGATTCTCAACTTCCAGTGGATGAGAAAAAGACGTCAGCAATGTCAATTGAACCTAGTAGAGAGACTCCGATTGAATTTACCTTGGTTTTGCTAGAAGGTAGTAAGTATGAGGTAATGAAATTCATGCAGAGTATGTGGTTGTAGTGCCTCAAACTATCTTTTTGCAAGCATTGAGAAAAATGTCGCCATGACTGACTTTGGATGTTCTAAAGGGCCATGAGTTTGAGGAGTTGATGCCAGATACAAGGCAACCTCACTAAGAGTATTTCAAAAATTTCAGATATAGAGCCCATCTCTCAAGTTGCCCCCTATTGAGGGAAGTCTGGCATATTAGAGACGAGACTCTTTTGTGCCACTTCTGTAAGACTATTTGGAGTCATTTCGACAGTAAAGTCAATTCAACTGTGCCCACCAACAGTTGATCAGACATGATGGATGAACAACAGCGTTGAAAATTGCCATGGAATCTTTTGGGGAAAGAACATCCTATAATGGAATTCAGATACTACCACAGAGAAAGAAGCCTCTACAGAGTGGTTGCTATTGAGAGTTGCCCAATCCACCATAGATTTGGTCCCAATGTTGATTCCTTCTTACATGCCTGTTTACCAGATACACTCGGACGAGTACGAGGAGTGGAAGAAATCAATTACATATTTGATGGCTCGAAGTTTGGTTCGTGAGTATACTCATCCATGTGCAATTTAAGTTCTGATTGTGCCAACAGAGAGCGAATATTTATACTATCAGAATGTGCTTTGGAATGAAAACACCTACATAATTGACTTACTCCAGGAGATTACAACATCTTGGCCACCTTTAATGTAGCAAAACTTGCGGCTATACCTCGAGGAAACAAAAGCTTCGATCGATGAGGTCGAAGTTCCCATAACCCCAGGAGATTGACACTGGCATCTAATGCCTATGCGGCAATTGTCACTCATTTTTGCGCTAGGACCGGTTTGATCCAAGCATGGAATGGATTGAAGTATCCTTCCAAACATGTGCTTCCCTCCTATTTGGAGCGGGGTTCACTCATCTTTACTCTATGGCTACAATTTCGTGTTTTAGGTCAACTTTCCCCTCTTTTTTTTTTCTGCCAGGACAACCATCTGCATCCAGGTTTAGCCCTTCTAAGGTTTTATTTGACGATGAATGATGCTCTGGTTGTATCTTGTCCGGGTGGTGATTATCCTCGACCTTCTCACTTAACTAGCTTCCCTCCATTGCCTCCGTCACATTTTTGCTATAGCCACATGAAAACAACCACTTCAATATTTTCCTGCAGTCGTCTACCACTTCCCCACCCTTCCCAATATGCTGCCCCTTGCTGCAACCCTGTCACTGCCCTGTCACTGCCGTCATCATGAGGACAGACCGCTCGCTGCCTTTATGCAGTCCAGCCCCTCCATACTGCTACCTTCTCCTAAACCAAAACCCAACGCCCTCTTAGTTGTGCTGCTGCATCACACCAGCACCCCATATCCTCATTCCAGCACTCTCCATTTCTTGCCACCTTTGTAGCTGATCACCACCACCCTTGGACCTAACCCTAGTTTCAGTTTGTGTGTCGTGTTTATTGTTATTTTTATTTCGATCTGTGTGGTTGTACTACTTTGATTTCAGTAATAAAGTTTATATTTCTCTTTATTTTTTGGTTAACTCCGGTAATCACTACTGTTCTTATCTGTCACATGAATCCTATCCATGTATCAATTATCAGACCTGCTTTTATTTGGTTATTGCTTCTTGATCATATATTGTAACAAGGTTCAAAGGTTGCTTTTTTTGCAGTGTTGCTGAACGGGGAAATTATTTTTTGTTGTATGTAATTAGATTTTGGAATTATGAGAAGTTATCAATTATGGGCCTGATTTTGATATTACATGTCTCTAGGCGTGCAAAGTTTAGACTTGGCTCTGTTTAATTCCAGATTTACTTTCAAAACTTGGGTAATTGTTGGATGTCAATTTTTCATGTACAGTGTAAACTTGATGACAACTTTCAGCCGAGTTTTCTCCTTGTACTGGTTTGAGGCCTGGATGTTTTTTGGTCACGTCTATTCTTACTGTTTTTTCATCTACATTTTTATTAATTGGTATTTTTTTTGTGTGATTGACTTTTGATCTAACTTGATACAATTTGTTTGTCTTTTTTTTACTGTGAATCCTAATAGTTGCATGGTTTTATGTTATTCTCAGTTTTTTTTTTGCACAATTTTTAGATTTTAGGTGATCTATAAATTATTATTTTTAGTTAGTTTTATGTGTTATCTTATTTGCATCAAAAGAGACTAAATTTTGCATGAATTACGAGTTGGTGCCTCAAGAAATGCGAATTTTACTTTTTTGTTGTGTACTTATTATGCATTATGTCGCAAATTTACATTATTCAACTTTAGATCGGAGGATTTCCTGCGTTAGCTGTCAGTATGGGTTTTATTATGGCTGTGCAGAAAGGGAGCTTGTAAACCTTCAAGCTTATACTTTATTTTTTTCTTCCATACAGCACTCAAAAAGTTTTTGATTCAGAGGAACTGGGAAAATTTATGCTATTCAATGAAGTTTAAACTTAAGTACAGAGATCACTATTTGTTTAGAAACATTTAGGCTATAATAATTTGTGAAACTTCTGCAGACCCCGCTGAAGATCTCTTATTTTTCATTTGGCTTTATTGAAATCATATCTGCAGGTTGACAAATGTGTTGAATTTTTGAATAGGTAGCCTCCAAGTCTTTGTATGCTTAGATGCGTGCGCCAGTTGGGCATACACACGCAATAGATATAAATATAAGAACGATCCTCATTTATGCTGCTTGTAAGAAGTTTATCTCTGCAAAAATTTCACAAGTTGATTTTGTCTTGATTCTTCCTTTTGGTATTTATAGATTTCACCTCCTTCAAGAGTTTGATGAGGGTAAGAGAAGTTGTCGTCGCCGTTTGGCCGGACATAATAGAAGGAGAAGGAAAACACTTTCTGGTGCTGCTACCCCTAGTGAGAGTTCTGCAGCTGGTGATCAGTCAGCGGGCTATCTTTTGATAAGCTTATTGAGAATTCTTGCCAATTTGAACTGTAATTTCCTTTCATTGACTCTATGTGATATCTGTTACTTTTCTTGGTCATTAGATTCTACGATCTGAAACTTTCGAACTCGAACTTCTTGAACTACATTATAAAAGCTGTTATAACTTGACTAAATGCAGTGTTCAGACAACATTGCAAGTATATAGGCACGTGTGATGTTTTATTATTACTAGTAACAGTGACAAGTTTTGTAATGGTTTGCATCCATAAATCTGAAGAAAACTTTTGATGGAAGCTGATTGATAAAGGAAAATAGAATTAAGGGAGAAATATGTACCTGTAGCTGTTTTATAAAACTAGGTTTATATGCAGGAATCTGACAATTAAGATGAACAAACTCTGTTGTCATGGATGAAGTAGTTTAATTTTCTTCTTTTCTAGGCTGCATCATTTTGACTGTTCACCTTTTTAATTATGTTGCTATATCTACCTTCTTTTAAAAGATTGTGTGTTTATTCTTTATTTTGTCCCACATTTATTTTTCTTACACCTTCTGCACTTTTTATTCTTTTTGGCTGTAAGCTACTTTGTTCTAGGCGAGTAATAATGGTAAAATATGTTTAGCGAAATGAATGCAAAAAATGACGGAAGTGGCATGGAAAGGAGAGAAACATTGACGCCTCATCTAGAAATATCAAGAATCTTGCCTCACCCTTGCGGTATTTCACATGATTTTTAGTCATGGTTTGGGCTTTTTTGCGACATGGATATGGTGGAACACAATGTACAACTTGAACATGATTAGTTACCGAACTCTTATCTTTCCTTTAGAACTTCAAAAATAGTAGTCCATGCACGGTCTTCTTTCATGCGGTATAAATTTTGTTGGCTTCATATTATTGTTGGTGTTATTTTTATTTCTAATGAAGAATTAGCCCTATCATTCTCCTTTCATCTCCCATGGGGACTGACAAGGATATGTTAGGTGTTTGTAATTGATTGATAAATTAGGTCTAGATTATGCAAGTCCTGTTTAGACCATAGTTGGCTGCCTTGTGTGTGTTATCATTTGCATTTATTTGTTATGTTTTTGATGATATGATTGGTTATCTTCATGAGCAAGAAAAAGCTGCGAGATTAACTTGCTAATGGTTAATCTAATTGCAGCTGATAGATCTGAACAGTCAAACGATCAGGAGCTTTTGTCGAACTTTTTGAGGAATATTGTCTCTCTAGCTGGTTCATCTGATGGTAAAAACAGTTCTGGTCTCCTCCAAGCATCTTCAGATCTTCAGAAAATTGGGACATCTGCTGGGACATCAGGAGAAGCTGCAAATGCTCTAATTTCCGGTGCTTTTCGTACAAAAGAATTATGTTCACCTGCCAAAACAGTTTGTGATCCTCCTGCTTCTACTAATCACCGCGTGTCTCCTGCGGCTGTGGTTGCTCCAAGAGAGATACACGGTCATCAAAACCATAGCTTAGCCTGTTTTGACGAGACTCGGCAAGCAACATGTTCTAAAAGATTAGTGCCTGAAAAAAATTGCTCGCCTGATAAATCACCCACTGTAGACTCATTGCAGCACATGCTACCTACTGCTTGTACGGTAGCCAGTGGGAGGGAAAAGGCATTTGACTTGAATAATGTGTATTATGAAGAAGAAGACGGTGCATTAGGATGTGGACAATCAGCAAAGCAAGCAACACTGGATAGTGGTTATGCTAATTGTCCATGGATGCTACAAGATTCTCACCAGTCAAGTCCACCTCAGGCAAGTGGTAATACAGATTCGACGTCTAACCGATCACCTTCAAGCTCTAATGGAGAAGCTCAGGTGAACTTTTATTTTTTTTTTCGAAGTACTTGCATGTTTATTTAAGTTTCCTTTAGTTGCGCAATATTAAGTGCTTGTTCATACATGAATGTATCACTTGGCATCTGGTATCATCATCAGAAGGTTGTACACAAATTTTGTATAATCTGGGAAGTTTGGATCCTTTTTCATGATGAGGCTATAATCTGCTATTTAGCAGGCTTATTAGAATTAAATTTGTGCTATCATTTTTTAGTTTCAAGGGACATGATTTTAACATCGTACTATCTAGATAAAATACCAAAATTCAGAAAAAAGAGTGTACATTATTTTCAAAATAGCTGTTCAAAATGTGAGCACATAGATTTATTACTAATTAGGCTCCATGGACTTTGCAATAGGAAACCTATTGATTATGCAAACTAAACAAATAATTTACAAACAAACAACTTTTGCACATCCTACTCATATTGATGCATGGTCCAATCATGCTGAGACAAATCAAAGGTATGCTGTGTGTGACGCGAACACCCAAATCTTTTTGAATGGTTAGTACTTCATAGGTGATTTTATCCTGTTTCTTATGGACAATCGAGTACAACTATATGCACTGAGAAGATACGTCTTTTTATGTCTCTCCAAAGCTTTTTTTGACACATGATATGTTATGAATCATTCATGCATGAAAATTTTGACAGTGTAAAAACATTTATACAATTCACGGGTACCAACATAATTGTGGGTCTAAGATTCTTGCAACTTGAAAAGAATTTAGGATCCAGTCCATAGACCATTAAATAATAAAAAATTGCTTTCTTCAGATGTAAACCCAAAAACATGAGAATTAGAACCCAAACGATAATGTAACGATTAAATGAAAAATCCATACACCTTAAAATTAGCGAGCAGTTGAAAATTTTAATCATACTTGTATCAAATTTGAACAAAATTAAGAACTCTAGCAAACAATTACACAAGTTTTGATGAAAAAAAGGTAATAATTCACCATAGTGGATGAGATTTTTAAGTGTCATACCTGTGCAAGGAGATAACTTTCTTAAAATTAAGTAATCACACTAGAACAAGATTCAATGAATCACACATTCAACATTTGCACAATATTGAAATTGGAATCAAATGTTTTGTAGAATTTAAGGCTATTTGTTACATCTTTGACCATATATTTGTAAATGTTTAATATCTTGCAATGTTGCTTTGATCATTGGATAAACCAAATAAAAGTATGATTTTATAAAAGAGGAAAGGGCCAAAATAGTTCCTTGACTATTTATATGGGGTCATTTTAGCCTCAGAGTTTATAGAAATGTCAAATTAGTCCCCAATTTTTTTAAATTGAGGCTAAAACAATCTTCTATTAAAATTATTTCATCCCATATTAATATTTTTATATTGATATATTTAAAAAAGACGAACTCCCATGTCTTAAATGAGTTTTGATGAATTATGCACCATTAGCATTATGGATGGTGTTTTATAATTTAATTTTTTTATGACATTCATTTTTAATAAATTTCTTGAAATATTGGCACGATTAGCATTCTTTTTGTGAATTTAAAGATTAGTTTGACATTTAATATGGGGATTATTTTCATTGATACGCCATCAGGAATTGCACTATCAAATTGATTGGTTCATTTAGTATTCTGCTATGACGATGCCTAAGAGAAGTTTTTTTTAATCTTTTATTTTCCTAAGAGCAATTTAGTCTTCTGTTATTATTGTTGTTCTTAGTATAAATAGAGCTAATATGTTTAGGGTTAGGGTTATGTTTGAGGTTATTGTTGCGAGTCTTAGGTTTATGTTTGGGAGAGTTTTCCTAACTCTCGAATTGTAGCAATTGGGAGAGCGCCTACCTCTCGAATTGTAGGTGTTATTTTTATATATTCGTGCTGTATTGTTTTGATTTGGTGTTTGTGAAATAAAATATGTGTTTGCCCTAATTTTTGTGACAAATCAATCATATTAAATGGTATCCGAACGATTAGTTTTTTGGAGATAAACTACAATATCGCAGCCGCATATTTTCGTGACCTAGCCTCGCGAAACAGTTGTGATCCGAGCAATCTGGGAGGATAAATGAAGGGAATGCAACATAGACTCAATCGTGCGTTGCCTTCGTGACTGAGCCATTTGATACAATCACAATTAGAGCTCTCTGGGAAGAGGACAATGAGACGTGATCGAGCTACGTGGGAAGCGACAATATGGTCTAACGATACAGTCGTGACTTGAGATAGCCGGGAAGATCAAGGTGTACGTATTTTAATCGATTGCGACATGCAGGTTCTCCCTCGCATGCTTTTTTTTATCACGGTAAGGGCTAGCCAGGAAGTCACCGACGAGATCACTTTGGAGACACATGATTCCATGACTGCATATTGCGGCAGTTGCGAATCAACATCATTCGAGCTGGCCTTGGAACCCATGACGAAATTTTAGCTTACATTATTTCAACTTTTGTAATCAAAATCATCCTGGAATAGTGACAACCAAGGAAGTTGATGTTCTTGAGAGAAATTAGAGAAAGAGCCGAGTCACATCAGATCTGAGATAAATGAGTGTTTCTCATTTATAGAGAAGAAGCTTTTCTCGTTCATGGAGGGGCAACTCAAGCGGAAAGTCAAGGCTCCGGAATAAATTATGAAAATGATCATGGAGTTTCACAAAAAACCACTTCCGCCCTCCGAGGGATTGAACGACGGCTCAGGAACCGATGTGAGCAATAGCAGCCAAAAGGATTCACACAACATCAGGGCATCGTCGCTGCTTTAGGTGAGCCTAGAGCTGCGGTATTGAGCGAAGTAATCAAAAGTGGACTCAAGCAACAACACTTGGGAGAAATAACACAATATTCATATGGTTCTAACAAACAAAAGCAAGCAAGATTGAATGAAGGAGTCGAGAATAAATTCCACTAGTAGCCTCTGAAGGGAATTGCACGACAACATGAAGTTTGTAACGAGCGTTAGCAGACAAAACGGGACGACGTGCGATTCAGAGCTGGAGAACATCAATTTGAAGAATTTTGACATGAAATAAAGAACCATAATGGGTCGGATTCCAATGGAGGGCTGCCTCCAATTGCAGACGTGTTTTTTGCTATGACAGCCTTCCAGATGGAAGGCTATTCAAATGTAATGATGAGAAAGAGACAAATAGAGTTGAGCGAGGGAGTTTGTAAGGGACTGATTTAGATATATAGAGTATTCGTGAGGGATATAAGATGATTGTGCTTCAAAGTGACCCCAATTTGTGCAAGACGTTGGTGACATTGAAGACTATGATGAGGGTGATTCAGGACGCATGGATGAGATTCTTGATCGAGTTGGATATTAGGGAAGGGACACATGATATAAAGTTGACAGAGATTCCAGGGATCGACAAGCTCTTAGATGAGTTGTTTAAGGAGATGGTATTTTTTAGGATTGACTTGAAGTTAGGGTACCATTATATTTAGATGCAATTAAAGGATGTGCACAAAACGACATGTTGAGACTATGCGGGTCACTACGATTTTTTGCTTAAATTGAGGATTGTCAGATGATGACGCCACATGGGAGCCATATAACTTGATCCAATAACAATTTTTTTCACCTTGAGGATATTGTCCTTTTGAGAGGGGAAATGTTATGACTGATAAGGGAAAATTAGTAATTTATTATTATTATTCTTATGATTATAAAAAGGGCAGATATATTTAGGGTTAGGATTATGTATGAGATTATTATTGTGAGTCTTAGATTTAGAGATTGGGAGAGATTTTCTACCTCTCGAATTGTAGGAATTTTGAGAGACTGCTTATCTCTTGAACTATATGTGATTATCTTTATATATTCGTTTTGTATTGCTTTAATTTGGTGTTTGTGAAATTAAATATGTTTGACCTAATTTTTGTGAAAATTCTTGTCTAAAATCGTATCCTATTCATGAATTTATTTAATCGAAATTCAAATTCAAATATGATATTGTACTCAATTTATTTTCAGCTATCAACTCAATTTTTTTTCTGCTATAGCTTTATGTTCATCTATACGATCTAATATAGGTTTTGATTTAATTTCAGTATTATCTTTAAATATCTGGGCATGTTGTATAAAAATCATCTTAATTTATTAGAATTAAATGGAAATATGACACTCAATAGGACAATGGAAAAAAAAAGAAAAAAAAAGATTCATGTAGCTACCCCATAGTGGGAAAAAGCTTGTTGTTGTTGTATGCATACATCAAAATTATTTCATACTATTCAATAAAATCATATTTAACGATGCATGTTTTTTGTGTTGGTTTGCATGCAATAGCCTTTAAAGGAGATGGTATTAATTTTTTGTTTAGGAATATGAATCCTACGTGCTTTGTTCTAATAGAATGCGTGTAACATACTATAATATTCACAAATCCTAAAAAATGCCTCTTGTAATTTTTTTGTAAATGTAGCTTAATTCATTGCTAAAATTTTTCTAAAGACATTTATTAAAAAATAGTAATGATAATACCTAGAGGAAAGTATGTGTAGCTACAATATGTGTAAAATATTCATGGCATTGGAATATAATATAATTAATCTTTTATAAGTTTTAAATTGATTATTTATTCGATCTCTTGATTCCCCAAATTTTAGATATTGCTCTTAAGTTCATTTTTTATCTTGGTCCATGTTGATTTTCTTTTACTTGCAACACTTGGCTAAAATAATGCATGTACTACTATACTTGTTTCAATAATTTTATTTTATTTTATTTTTTGAAATCAAATAGGCGATAATATTTAAAAAATCTTTCAAATATCAACACACTTTGAAAATCTTCCTATACCAAACTCTCCGTTAAATGCATAAATGAAATTTTGATTCTGACAACAATTATGATGTTTTCATTTAGAATCATAACATAGTTGATTCTGTTTGAATTGTGTCATTTTTTATTTGTTTTATTGATCACTCTGCACTTCTTATATTTTGTTGAAATAATATGCAATCATGAGTTATGATGCTAGTTTGATATTGGACAATCAAGGGGCTTGCGTTCCTAAGGCAACTAGGATGACACTGTGAATTCTAATAACACAAAAAAGTCAATTTATATGATAGATCACTAAATACTTAAAAAACTTACTTTATTTGGGTGAAAATTATAGCATATGAGAATTATAGCCAAAATTATAATGCGTTCATTAAGTAAATCCAAAAGAATAAACAGGAAATTTGAATCATTTAAAGTCAATGCACAATTGAGATTTTATTTTTTCACCATAGTGAAATCTCAGTTGTATTAAATTTAAATAAAATCAAAATTCTAACAAAATACTAACAAAAATAAGATTCAAATCTCTTGTCAGCTCAAGGAGATAATTATGTGCATGAAATTTGAATAAAATTTATTGAATCAATTGCTATTTATTGATGGCCCGTGCTATCTATTTATAAAATTTTCATTTGGCTTATAGGATTTCTTGAAACAAGAGGGTAAGCCAAAAATTAAAATAAAAAATGATGAGAAGGTAACAGAAAGATGTTGAAAACCTTAAATTTCGTTGGAAGCCACTGACGCATTGAAAGTGGAGAAGCAACAAAATGAAGCTATAGTAGTGGTCCAATAAGCCCCACAAATAATAACTACAAAATACCGATGTTGTTGCATGTGGATTTGCAACAAGTGTCACAGTAAATTGCAAGTAATTCTTCAGAATAGGAATTCACACTTGTTTAAACCGGATATGGCACATAGAAATTGGATATATTATATAATCACATGTGGCATAATGCTTGGAAAACTGCAAAAGACAATGTTCGCATCATTTAGCTACTAGAATAGTCCTTCAGCAATAAACTTTTTTAAGATGGTGTATTTTTAGCTGAAATCGAAGTCATGGATATGTTAGTGTGTTCAAACATCAATTTTCCAACAAGAAAATTTTGCTAGGGGTTGTTTTTGGCATTGCTTCTTTTACTTCTTTTCCCTTCAAAATTTAAACTTCATGATACTGATTTGAGTGTAGTAATTGCTCAATGCATTTAACGTTCTTAAAGATATGTTCTTGTGAGGTTAGTTTATTATTTTGATCTATCATCTTTTTTGTTCTACTTTTACGAAATACACCATAGGAAAATGTATGATTTTTGAGGGGTAAATTCACCATAAAATAACTTTAGTGACAAATTCTTCCATAAAACTTACCGTGGTCAATTCCCTATGGAAATGAATTCCTGCGATCAAAATACATTAGAAATACCTGCTATAAATTGATTTCTTATAGATATGCTCACAACAAATATCGTTGGCAAGGCTGATGGAAATCCATTAGCAAACCCCAATGGTATAATCACGTGTACTTAATGGTGGCATATGCATTGGAAATACCGACAATCAATTTGATGATAGTTTTGTACGGATTAGCCGTGATATAGTTAACCTTCGATTATCTTTCTTTCTTACCAAGCTGGAAAGAATAACATCCAACTTGTATTCAAGCAAAAAGGAAAACACTCAAATTGAAATATTAAAGGAATTATTTTCTTAACACACTTCAGATACCCTTTTTTATAATTACAAGAAAACCACGAGCTATGAAAAATCTTGCAACAAAAGGCTACAATTATAGCAGAAAATAAACACAAATCGTGTCTTCTATAACATTTTAAACTCTTAAATTTTTTTATTAATATGATCTAATGTGGGTTTAGTTTCATAATCTACAAAATCAAATGGAGAATTGTATTATATCTGTAAATCTTCTTTGGGATTTTTTAATTATTGAAAGAGTATTCATGAACTACAAATTTAAAATAAGATCTAATTTAACTAGTTTAATTTTTTTTTATCGGCAGGGGTTTGCAGCCAAAAATAAAATGCTATTAGTTTTCTTTCTATATTTTAATCACAGGTGATATAATTCTAACAAGAAACATATATGTATGTATGTATGTACGCATGTATACTATTTTTGATAAACTGTAGCTTAATCTGTCCTTAATTTGTTGCCTAAAATCTTTAATGAAATAAAATATATAATAATAACAATTCTTAAATTGATCATATTATGCCTAAAATCTTTAATGAAATATATAATTATAACATAATAGTCTAGAGACAAAAAATCTTTAGTTCTAGTAACTTTTGAACGTTGCATAATATCCGAATCCGTCAGTCATTTTATTTAAAATTATTAAATTGAGCACACTATTATTCTATATTCACTGAATAATTAATAAATATTAATCTTAAGTTTTTGTTTCACATCAGCTTATATAAATTTCGCAGCAAAGTTTCAATAGTATTGTGCATATCTAATTAATTTTATTTTTTCAAATTCAACTTATAACCCATAGACATCTTCCTAAGTCTATGAGATTAGAAGCCATTGAAAAATAAGCTGGAATTATATCCAAATCCTCATTGTGATGATGTTTCTTAAAAGGATAAATTTAGCTAATGCAAACTATTAAGGATAATATTCTCACGTGCTGATGAATATTTTTTTCTATGATTATTTTCTCCCCTCTATGCCAAAAGCATCTTTCTTTACAAAAATTATATGTTTAGTTTTTGTTTGTCCAATGTTTGCTTCCTTTAGTGCTTTAGATTAGGAATATTTTTGTTACAAGCTGCTTGGCATAACTACTGGTAGATGTTTGAGCAGGAAGTTTTTTTATTTGTTGGACAAGTTTTCTTTTATAGAAAATCTGTATTGCTCAAAATATACTACTTGATCAATTGTTTCTTTTCCTTTTCCAGAGTCGTACTGATAGAATAGTATTCAAACTTTTTGGGAAGGAGCCTAATGATTTTCCTCTTGTTTTACGGGCACAGGTAATTGTAATGTTGAACCTGTATCTTATTTTCATAAGATTGGCTGTTATAAAATGATTGATGCTTCCCAAATGTTCAAATGGTCGCTTATGCTTGAATTGCAGATCTTTGACTGGTTGTCTAATAGCCCTACGGACATGGAAAGCTATATCAGACCTGGTTGCATCGTTCTTACAGTTTACCTTTGTCTTGAGGTGTCTATGTGGGATGAGGTGTGCAGTTTATATTGAATAATTACAGTTTAGGAAGATTTACATCACATTTCATATGTATTTACATATCTAACACCTAAACTTCAATTTTTTACATACATGCCACCTTACCTATGCATTAAAAGGTGTATTTTACTTTTTAAAAATTAAAATGATGGTATTTTTGATGTGATATGAAAAATTTGGGTGGTATAAATGTGAAAATTAAAGTTTAGGTGTTAGATATGTAAATACATAGGTATTGGATGGTATGTATCTAAATGCCCCTATAGTTTATCATTATGATCATGCTGCTTACAGATTATAATATCTTCTTATTTGCAGTTGTGCCATGATCTTGGCTCTAGCTTGAAGAGGCTACTCTTTCTCTCTAATGATGATTTTTGGAGAATAGGATGGATTTATGCGAGGGTGCAACACCACATTGTCTTTATTTACAATGGTGCGTTGATTTTCTATGCTGTTAGCTCATATTAATTGAAATGGTTCTAATTTTCTTGCAACTACTTCAGGTCAGGTTGTTTTGAACAAATCCTTGATCATGGAGAGATCTGATTGTAACAGGATTGTTGCTGTCACACCCATTGCTGTTCCTCCTTCTTCAAAGGTTAACTTTAAAGTGAAAGGTTACAATCTTGTTCGATCGACCACAAGGTTTCTAATCTCATTTTCATTTATAAGATTTCAAGATTAAACCTTTGTTGGCTAACGAATTTTAGTTTTATCTTCGAGTAAAGTCCCAAATCAGTCCCCTGACTATTTACATCGAGTCATTTTAATCCCAGAGTTTATAAATGTGCTAAATTTGTTCCCATATTTTTTTTAATGTTTGCAGCATAGTTATCATTAGGGACTATGTCAACCCATATTAAAAGAGTCTGACGATTAAATTAGCACTCCTTCAAAGAATCAATGGACTATTTTTACACTTTTCTCTTTGATCTTCTTTTTTCCACCTTCAAAGCTTTCTTATTTTCTGTTTCAATGTCAGGTTACTATGTTCATTTGAAGGGAAATATCTAATAAAAGAAACAGATGAACCCACAATCCAATATTCTGACTACAGCAGCAGTGGAAACAGGAATGAACAGCTCCAATCTCTCAGCTTCTCCTGTCACATTCCTGACACAAATGGCCGAGGATTCATTGAGATCATGCAATTACAACGACTAAAGTTTTCTTCTTTTCTTAGCAAATCATAACTTCGATTTCTTATCATTTTTCAGATTGAAGATAACGTACTTAGCCCTTGTTTCTTTCCCTTCATAGTAGCAGAAGAGGACATTTGCGCTGAAATACAAGTGCTGGAGATTTCTGAAGAACTTTCGGAGAAAAATTTGAATTTCTTACATGAAATTGGTTGGCTTCTCCGTAGGAGTCAGTTAAGATCTAGTTCAGAGTTTGAGAATAGCTGTTCAGAAACTCTCTCTTTCGCGCTTTGGACCGATTTTGAGATTCACAATTGATCATGATTGGTGTGCTATTGTAAAAAAGCTCCTGGACATATTGTTTGAGGGAAACATAGAAACATATGGGCGTTCTCCTATTGACCTTCTAATGTCAGAATATCTACTACATTATGCTGTACAGAGGAATTCCAACTTAACAGTCAAGCTCCTGTTAGGATACAAACTAGATAAAATTTCAGATGGAGGCTTAAATAATTTATTTAGACCAGATGTGCGTGGCACCTCTGGTATTACTCCACTTCATGTTGCAGCAACGAGTAGTTTTGCGGAGAGCATGCTGAATATATTGACTGATGATCCAGGACAGGTATGTTCATAATTTTCCCATCATTTGTTTCACTATACTTGATTGACTATGGTATAGAGATTAAATTTTACTTTGTTTTTCTTTTTATTTAACTATTCGATTATCTAGTCTCATTCTACTTAAAACTAAAAGTTAAGGGCATTTACGCGCACACCACCCAATTCTTATGTTCTTACAAATTTAACACTTAAACTGTGATTTTTTACATTTATGCCACCCAAATCTTTCATATTGTATAAAAAATACCGCCGCTATTTTACTTTT